GTTGCATGGATTGGCTTGGGCTTTGACTGCGCCGGGAATGCAGCCTGATGAGAACGTGTTTATCATGACGGAGAGACATAGTGCTGCGGTTTTGGATCACCAGACGTTTGAGTTACTGGAGTCTTTGCCGGAGTATGTCAAGGAGTAAAAGTTTATATTGTATGATAGTCATAGATTCAATAATCTGATACATACGCATTGTATATCATGTATTTATCCGATACCTCCTTACTCTAACAAAACGCCAGGTAAAAAAAAAGCAGTGACATGTTTTGAGTAGTAGTAAATAATTAGTGCACGCTATAACTAATCTACACTTTTATTTTTCCGGCGTTCCAGTGATTCGCATGATCATACATCGGGCCTAAGAATACTCTCCGTGCTGCCAGTTGCATTCCTCACGGACTTCCCTTCGTAATCTACTTGATATTCGGCCGTAACATGGATATTAGCGGTGTCCTTGCGCTGCACTCCACCAAATCGCTCTCCTCGCTCAACGCTCCCCAGTGGATAGCTACCATTGTTTCTCTTGCTCCTGGAGTAGTCTGGCGCGCCGGAGCTGTTGAACCCACTGGCCCAGCTGGGGAAGTGCTTCCGAACGAAGGGCTTCATGCGCGATACACTGTTGCAAATGATGCCGAGATTGAGTTCGAGAGAAGAGAGGATGGCGGCGGATGCTTGGGTCCAGGTGACATCGGGGTTCGTAACCATGGCCTTCACGTATGCGAGTCGCGCGATGGATGCGATGACGACGCTGAGAGATACAGGTTAGCAACTCATTAATAGATTCATACGTTATTAAAGAGACTTGACTTACGCAGATCCCAGACCCATCAAGATACCAATGGCCAACCTCTGCTTCAAGGGCATCTTCAAACTGTGGATTGTAGGAATAGGGAGAACAATTATTGCCGCATCAGACACAATATTCAGAATAGCCTGAGCGATGGCAATATTATTGAGACAAGCACCGCTACCGGTAGACTGTGGATTGCAGGGCCCCGAGAATAAAGCCGTGAAGACAACGGTATACGCGATGATGCCGATTGCTGTGAGCCAGACTCCAGCCTGGAAGAGCTTGGAAGGGTTGATGCGGACATAGAGCGCCAACATGGCCAGCTTTGTCAGGGTTGGCGGCCAGATGTAGGTGAGGGCCAGGACTAAGAGCAGATTGAAGTATCCTACCAATTGTGTTGGCGTGACGTCCCATAAGTGCCTGCCAAAGCCGGAAGGCATGGCTATGACCATGGCAATGAAGAATGTTAGGGACGTTCCCCAGGCGAGGATAATGAATGCTACTGAAGTGTTAGCATGGACGATAGTTCAATATCAGAGAAAGATGGGTGTGATATCTGAGTATCTCAGTATATCTTCAACGCGGGGCCACCTACGGATATCCCAATCCACCTTTCGCACAAGAATGATGGCCGTATAAAGTCGAAGCACCAAGGCTATTGTCGCGATCACAAAGGTCGATACGAAAACGCCAATAACAGAGTGTTGGACATACGTCCAGCTGTGAAAATCAGGCGTGACTCCCGCCGGAGGCGGCATAATCCCTACTTCGGCCATGATGGCGACGTTATTGCTGCGAACAAGAACAGCACGGCGATTCCACCTCGGTCAACGAGAGGGGGGAAAGTGGAGATAAAGAGATAGCGAGAACGAAAAGATATACGAGTATTATATAATGTACCGGGCAAAAGAGAACCGTCAAAGGAGAGACTCAGGTGGGCTGACGACGAATGTAACTACCTACGTCGAGGTCGGACATGTGTAGGTGATGGTCAAGCAGCTGAGATTGAATTTGAGGATCGTGGCTGAGATATTATGGCTCACGACACAAAGCAAGACACGGCCACACGCCTGCAGGTTCGCCTCAGATGCATATGTACTACGGTATAGCCCCTTTCGCAGAAGCCCATGATGAATAAGAGGTCCCTTACAAGGAGAGCTAAGTTTGGAGTTGCACTTCTTAGCCGTTGCCGAGTACGGAGTTTGTCCTCATACGAAGGTCAGGACATCAAGGATGTGAAAATTGATTCCTGGTTGCGACGGTGGTGAAGATCGTTTCCTTATACTGGAAGGAAGGACCCCGATGGGAATGAGAAAAGCTTGTACGAAAGTGCAGTAGGAGACATCTAGTGGGCCGGGGGAGTGAAACCGTGGGATGAACTCTTGCCGCCCCTTGCAGGACGTGTACGGTACCGTAGCAGTGATCGAACATCAACAGCATCGACCAGTTGTTATGTCGATGTATCGATTAGCTATTTACCGCCACGGTAGCAATTGCGTAGCAATTAATAGTCCATGTTCGATCGATGTGCACCTTAAGAAGATAGACTGATGTCTTTTCCCAGTAAATAATGGCGAGTACTACTGATGGAGATTGGCTGACACCGGTAATCATACAATTTTTACGCGAGAGCAGATGGAACGGTGAAGGCTGAGTTTAGGCTTATTTTCGATCCCCGTGTCGAATCAAATCTTGGCTTGAACGAACTGCCGACTGTTCAACCGTTTTTTAATTGCTGTCATGCCATTGACAGAAAACGGCGCGTGAATGCCGGTACTTGGCTATGGTCGGATGAGGTTAGGGGGACCGAAGTACCAAGTTCCTCTTCTACAACCAGCCGAGCAGCATACCTGTTGGAGTCGATTCCTGAGTCAACGCCATGCGGCGTAGCTGGGCGCATGACGGGCGCAATTAAGTGATTACGATGGCTTAGCAGGGGGAATGCGGGTATACGCCGGTCGGATTAATGATTCTCTGCTCTTGTTTGCTTTACAGTGTACAGTAATAACTGTAGAGCACAAGCCATATGTATGAAGAACGGTGCAGTAAGAGCGCAAGACCCAGTACCATGATAATCTTCTCATATCACAACATTTCTATCCTTAATTATTGCTTGAGAATGAAGGCATCTTCAGAGGCCTCTTCGCACCTCTTTCCGGCGCTGTCAATACTGATCCGACGTCGCAGTCACTACCAACCCAGCCATACTTCATTCAGCAAAGCTCACGGTGGAAAGTGGATATTTCCCAGAGTCTTCTCAGCGGTGATGAAACCGTGGCGCTGTGCTTCTCCGCTGACAGGCCTATCTAGGGCTCACATCTCCCTACCTCTCCCAGCATGGCGCAGGCTATTGTGCGCCTGGAGTCCAATACTCGCGACGGTGGCACCGTGGCACCTCGGGCGTCGACACGCGGGTGGAGCCGTCTGGGGGAGCGCTCCTTAGCTGCTTGGCTCTTCTAGAGCCCTGAGAAGAAGCACTGTTAGAAGGTAAACCGAGTACGGTAGCATTGCCCGCAGATCATCATTTACCGTCGTAAACGGAGCTGTCAGTCTATCCAGATCACGTCTGGGCCCAGAATGCCACCTTCCTCTGGTCTGGAACATCGAAACAACCCCATCTCGATTGCTTCCGCCCAGCGAACCATTGGACGTACTTCGTACTTGCCTTCTCATGGTCTCTGAGGAGAAGAAGAAGTCGTGATCCCTCCGTGACGCCTTCGCTTAACAAGTAAGCTCTGCCCCTGATTGTCTATCCCATCTCATTCGCTCCATCACTCCACCCTCATCTTTCTCTCAACCCCATTCTTGCGGAGTAGTTTGCAACTGGGTCCTGTTCCTAGAACTGTGGGCCTGGTGGAGAGCACCTCTTCGAGCGGAACCGTACTGTAGTCCGTAAGAAGTAAGAAAGCTGGCCAAACGAGGACATTTCAGGGTTCGGAATGTGTTATTCGGTCCCGATACCGACCGAAGGGAACGATGTTACGGCAGCAGAGAACAGACATCAAAGCAATTGTCCAACCAGCGGGTATTTCGATAACCCTCGATATATGCCGCCATCGCCACGGTTGCTGCGTCATGTACCTGCGTCGATACTAACCAGTACAATACGTGTATGGTACCTGAGCTCGTTTTCATTATGGTAGTTCGTAGCGCATATCTGTGGCGTCCATTGAATCACTTGCAAAAGCAAAGCATCTCTATCAAGTTCTACAGGATTAAGGGCAGAATGGCTTTTCCCGAGGCCCAGCGTCTCAAATCGCAAGGCAAAGAACTTTGATAAAGTAATCATATCATATCAGTAATATCCTTATCAAACCCCCACACGGCATGAAGCTTCATCTGCTGTAGTATTCAATCAATGCAGTGATCGGCATGCTCACAGGACAATTAAATGTCCTGCTGCGATTATCTAACCAGACTCTAGGCCAGCACTCTGGTACATGAAACAAGCTACGTCCCGGGGAAGTTATCCAGTCTGGTTCTCACAGGCGCTCTAGAACATATCGAGCATATCAAAAGGCGTGAACTACAAGGAGCTCTCATTAGTGGGATGAGAAGGTTGGCCACCCGGACCACGGCATTCCTTTTCCGGTCCCTTTTCAGTAAATCCTATCAAAGGATTGCGAATTTGGGCCGAGCTGTATTGAGTACATAATCCAACTTGGTGTTAGGTAAACGGCCGGGCTAGTTATGACAGCTCGCAACCTGTCCGAGGCGAGACGGGTATGCCGTGCCGTGTGGCCATGGATCATCAATCAGCAACTCTTAACAATCCGCGTAGGCGATATTTCTCAAACAGGAATGCACTCCTGTACTGCCGTTGCCGTTTCCTAGAAATGGAAAATCCATGGAAAAAATGGGAGGTCGCATTTCTCCGATACATGGTGCAGTTTGGGAAAATATATGTTGTAGATTGGCTAATGCCCCTTTTCATGGGTTCTCACATTCTACTCCTGCTTCATGATGGCTAGGTAGTCTACAGTCATTTGAAGCAACAAGGAGAGATGCAGCTGAAAGGTTCTCGAAAGTGATCCCATTGCAAATGTGCTGCTGTTGGGGGGTGTCAAGATTAAGCGGTGCAGAAACAAAAAGGGTAGCTCTATTCCTTTCCTGCCCAGACTATCTTGTACACAAGTACTGATCTACTTACTCATCAATAGCTGGTAGAACTAAAAAGAATAAAAGACAAAAATCGAAAAAAGTGGGGCTTAACCCGGGATCGAACCGGGGACCTCTTACATTTTGAGAACAGAGCCCAAAGCAAGAATTCCTGTGAAATTGTTGTTAGGAACGCTGAAAGCTTGTTATGGTGTTGTGTGAACTTACTACCACTGAACTATCAAGCCTCGGATAGAACTCGGGATGCATAATTTAGCTGATGAATAAAATGACGCTAGGAAATCTTCGGTTTTCGCACGTGATAAGACCTGCATACTTCTATCCAATCAGCTTCCTCATAGAGGCTGGCCAAGAATTTTGTTGCACGTCTGAAAGAAAGATTTGGGTTTCGACGACTACTCGCGAGTGATTCGCCGCCTATTCGACACCTGTCCGTAATCGATTTAATGCATCAAAAGCTTTTTACCACCGAAATGTATAGGGATCATTGAATCCAGCACATCATCTTCAGGCTATCTACTGGGACAGAAAGACTACCATGCTTTCCCTTTGCTAGGAAAATAAGATTTCAATGGCTGTTGCCCCTATGTAAAATTTTGCCTCATAGACCTAGGCGGTGGTAGATGCGAGAAGAAATTCAAGGGGTCGCTCCTTAACTGAACTGCTTCCATGAAAGTAGGTGCTGGTAGAAATACTATTAATATGATTTTGCCAGTTACAGTTCCGGTGCAAATAAAGTATTGTGCTACGGTGGGCATTGCCCGATACTCGGATAGGGGCAAAAGTACCGCCTCTCCTTCGAAGTGCATCCGTTAAACTTGTATAGTAATGATAGGTAACGGGCTGTCTTGATGACTGAAAGTATTCCTTAGCTCTATATCTTCAGGTTCCCAAGGCGCGCTTCGAAGAGCCATTTATAGGTCTCGGTAGCCGACTCTCCCAATATTACATGCCAACACTCTACGGTTGACCACCAAGACTGCGCTGCTAGTGGATATTTGAAACTTTTGATCCTCTAGATACAACTGTTCATTCCCCAGTAATAGTTATAACTTTTACCTAGTGAACGAAATGCCTGTAGCTAAGATGGTGGACACAATCTCCATTATTGACGCCTTTGTTTATCCTTTCTAGATTGCGTACCAAACAACTACAAGCATATCGTGATCTCGGAAGCAAAGGGTACTTTTCCACTCCTGAGCATTGCTTCTCGGAGCTTCTAGACACTGATAGTTTACAAATATCTTGTCGCAGCCTTGTTGGATCAGAAATTTTCAGTACTGAAATGTATATTAAAATAAGACTGAAATATATTACGTACGGATCATTACTTAGCGATCATGAAATTCATGAAAAGATTGAGGTAGAAGTCTTATATAGCGTTTGGAGAATATCTAGATTACTCGAATAGCTATTTGAATAATTTGAATATTATTGGAAATAATAGCACAAGTTATATCGAGATATACTGTTGGCATAGCGCCTAGAGGAGAGAATTTATCGCTGAGCGTGAAAAAGATTTGATGTAAGAGCCCTGAAATTTCCCTTAGATAGACCATATTAATAATAGAGTAGGTTGTCTTCTCATCTAGTGATTCCACTGATGCAAATTACCATTCCCGCACACAGGGCTAAATCTAAGCTTCTATTGGCTGAGCGGCTTTCGTTTGTTTGCAAAGAACGGTGACAACCAGTAGTCAATCAATCAATCAATCAATCATATTATCGATAAATTTAAGCATTCCGTACATAAGTGTCTAGGTGTAGTGAATTAATGATAGAATGATTCAGCTGTTAGGGCTATATGGCCCAGAAGCCCATTATCAGTGATTGGTCGGACTAGCAGATAGCTAGCTTGGTTAACCGCCGTGGTTATTCCTGTAAGAGCTTTCGTGACCGTATTGTCCACCATCGCGTCACTGCAAAATTTCTGAGGCATTCACCAGCAAAACGACGATTCCATATGATTCGATGCTGTAGTCTCTGGGTGTATACTGAGAAAAGCGCCTGGCGCAGAGCTGCATATCTTGTACTATAGCTCGTGGTTGCCTAATCTGCCTGGCTTTCCGCAATAAAAAAATGCATCACCTAGCCTTCAAGTCTCAGCTTGCCACTAGCGATTACGGATCTATTAAAGATGTACCATCAAACTTTGGTCTCTGAGACGCCAAGTCCCCATTCATCGGCACAGCCAGAAACGATTTACTTCGCATATGGCAGTAACCTCGCATTTGGCCAGATGGCTGCACGCTGTCCCTCAAGTGTCTTTGTTGGCCGCGGGCGACTTCATAATTATAGATTCCAGATTAACGAGCGTGGATATGCGAATGTAGTCCCATCAGAGGACCCAGGCTCTTTTGTCGATGGTCTCTGTTACCGTTTGTCACCCAGCGATGAGAGGAGTTTGGACCGTAGCGAAGGGGTTCCGACGGCCTATGAGAAGCACCTTCAGGAAGTGGAATTTTGGTCTGCAAAACGAGGCTTAGGAGGCATAACGGTCGTTGATATCCTAGACTTTAGCGAGCAAAAAGCCCAACAGCAGCTGGATAAAGAACTAAATGCGCATCGGTCAACTGTTGATCGGCCTGAACCTAAGTTAGATGGCATGACAGTGAATACACTTGCAGATGGACAAGCAAGTAGCTATCAAGAAGTGGAGCAGCCAACAGATACACAAGTCGTGGAAGCAGAGGCTAAAGCTGAATCAATCATGGCGCTCGTTTATATCAGTCCAAGATATATTAAGGATGGAACACCTTGGGATGAGTATATCCATAGGATGGAAGTAGGGCCTGCAAATGCCATAGAGCAAGGTATATCTCGTGAGTACGTTGATAGCTATGTTCGGCCTCTCCTCAAGTCTGGGAGGGGTACGAGGATATTTAGATGATAACTAATATTTTGAATTGAAATGATTTACTTCTCGTAACTATGACCTCATTGTTTATAAGCTTTCTGTGATGATATTATAAGTATGATTTCTGCTCAGGGCTACCTTCTTAACCAGGTGCTGGCGGATCTCCCAATCACCAAACATAGATGACAGAGGCTTGTGTTCGTCCATACCTAGCCTTCTCTTCCTCTGTACTACAAACCTCCTTCACAGGCTATGATGGAGTTTAGCATTCTCTACTCGATCTTCTCCAGATACTTACACCCCATAAATGAAATATAACTATTCCTATATGCTGATATTGAAATTCTCCTCTCTGTTCCGTCAGCCACCGAGATAGCCTTCATAGACTATGCACATAATACCATTCAGGGTCATTACTTCTATTCATAATTAAATTCAAACTATATGGACATGAGGGAAGGCCTTAGCCTTCGAATCGCTCAAAGTCCTTCTCATCGTTATATCGATATCGTTCAGCAAAAGCGTGAAGTTTGTTAAAATCTCGACACTGATGTGGAGTACCATAACCATCAATACCTGTCCGATGCGCCATGCTGTCAAATGGAGATCTAAATGGCTCTAAAGTAGAGTCAGCTGCACAGAGGATACTTTCTCTGAGATAGTCTAAACAATGAAGCGTGTGCGATCGAGGGCTGGTAATATTCCCTTCTAAGGCTTCAAAAAGGTCTCCTTGAAGAAGATACTAACGGACGTTATTAGCTGTGACATGGATAGTATTATGGGAATATGCAATGCAGTATTATACCAGGCAATGTAGTTGGTGGAAAGCTGCTATGCAAAATCTTCCGGAACCATCTGTGCTCAGTTTTTGGACGAAATCGGGTACTGAATGTTCACTGATCATTTTATCTACTGATATGTAACCCTTCCCCACTATACGTGTGTATGTTAGAAATTCGAAACATCTAAACAAGAATGCAGGGGTCTTACTTGGGAAGAGATTCATCCATGCCTCGTAGCCTTTATCTGAGCGAGGATCTTCAAATACTCGCTCAGGCATGAACGCTTTCTCCAAAGATCCAACTGGAACTTTTAGTCTACAACCGTTCTAGAAAGTATGTCACTCCAACTTACGAGGAGGAATATCGAACCCAGGAAGTAACTCCTTAGGGTTACTTGGTTCTGCCTTCGGCCGGAGAGTTTGTAATACAATCAAACTTGCTGCAATTGAAATCGCCGAGCTGAACAGGGCTACGACGAGAAAGTGCATCAACGTAAGTCCAGACTTCCTACTTCCATTTTGCCGCTGAGACAAATTCTCTATCTCAGATTTCAGCAGATTATGGTTTTCATCAGAGCTAGAACTTGACCTTGCCATGCTGCAGTCTGGATACGTGACAAAGTGCCTAGCAAAGTCAAAGTATAACAGCCATGGAAAACGTAGGCCAGAGGTAACAATGTAAAACGGGAGAAGACTAAGCAATGCTAAACATGGTAAAACTCTTACCAAGCAGGCTGTAACCAGCTCTCGACAGTATTGGGCATGCAGCTGTTGCTTAATCTGTATAAGCGCTAGCGCGGTGCACGATCCCTATTCAGGGAGTTGATAATAGAATTGACTATTTTGGAAACTTCAAATGCCGGAGAATACATTCGACAGTAGACCGGCATTATCGCCAAGAAATCTGCTAAATTGTTTATCCCTCGACTCTGGGTCTCATGACGTATACACAGATTGCACCCATCAGCTATCCTGCCAGGGGAAGAGTGTAGAAGTAGATAGGAAATGGGCTAGGTGCTATTCTGGCCGTCGATTTAAGTGGAACAAGAATAGATAGATAAGGAATAGTAAATAGCATTCTTGGTTGTTAGTTCTAGCTTTAGTTGGAAGCTCAATAAGAAATACCAAGGCTAGAACCAATGGGTTTCTCCCGATACCGGATACATTCCTTTCCTGGCTAAAGTGGTGTACTATGCAAACGCCTTTACTCGGCCTAAACAAACTACTGAAAACTTACCAGCTGAACGCTATCCCTTGTCTCAGCTACGCAAGATGCCGAGAGTCGATGAGGACCTGCGAGTGTGTTCAATCCCCCAGATATCCACACACATCGATGTGGAAACTAGTCGATAGGGAAGGGTGTCACATTAAATGAGGAGTAGATTTAATTTCTATTGTGCCCAAGCTATCGTAACTATGGCGCAATATCCAGAATTTTGTCGCCTTCTTTCAACTCTACTATGATATTATCCAGGTTCTGATGATCATACACCCATTTCCTTACCGGCTCCCAGTCTATACACTTGTGATCCGTATTAAAATCCACAAATGCCCCATCTATCCCCTGCTGTGGATCTTTTACCCAATAC